AGAGCCAGGACTCATTTGTAGAGCCAGAACTCAACTAAAGTAAAGTCAGAACTCAACAAAGGTAAAGCCAGAACTTGGAGGTAGAGCCGGGACTCTACAAAGGTAGAACCAGGACTCAAAAAACGTAGAGCCAGAACTTGGAGGTAGAGCCAGGACTCAACTAAAGTAAAGTTAGAACTCAACAAAGGTAGAGCCAGGACTCAAAAAATGTAGAGCCAGAACTTGGAGGTAGATCCAGGACTCATTTGTAGAGCCAGGACTTGTTTGTAGAGCCAGGACTCAAAAAACATAGAGTCAGAACTTGGAGGTAGAGCCAGGACTCAACTAAAGTAGAGCCAGGACTCATTTGTAGAGCCAGAACTCAACTAAAGTAAAGTCAGAACTCAACAAAGGTAAAGCCAGAACTTGGAGGTAGAGCCGGGACTCTACAAAGGTAGAACCAGGACTCAAAAAAAGCCAGAACTGAACTTGGAGGTAGAGCCAGGACTCGTTTGTAGAGCCGGGACTCAAAAAACATAGAGCCAGAACTTGAAGGTAGAGCCAGGACTCGTTTGTAGAGCCAGGACTCAACCAAAGTAGAGCCAGAACTCAACCAAGGTAGAGCCAGAACTCGGAGGTCGATCCAGGACTCTCCGAAGGCAGCGCCAGGACACCCTGGGCAGGACATGTGAGTCCTCTTCACCCTCCTGTTCTGTTTGCTCTGAGCTGGAGCAGCTCCAGCTCACCTGGAAAGACTCCCAGGTACCTTCAGCAAGGTAGAGAGGAGGAGAACTCAGCCCTGCTCCCATTGCACAGCAGGTCACGGTACACTGCACCTCTCCTCCCTCCGGGACCGTCCCCACGGCCACGCCGCGCTCACGAGTCGGTTTGGAGGAGGAGGAACACCAAGGACAAGTGACTTACTCAGAGCTTCTTTCAGGGCCAAAATGGTTTCCTCGGGGTACACGTTTCTGTCCTCCCAAATTTTGAAGATTCTTTCGATGGATTTGGACACAGAAGGATCTCTGGAAGAGAAGAGCACAGTGGGTTCTCCTCACCCCACCATGGCACATCTACTGGTTCCCCTCACATCACCTCATGGCATAACTTGCCACAAACCAGTGCCAATTCAAGCCCAGCCCTGGCTAAGCTGAGCAAGAAATACACACAAAAAGTGGTTTAAACCAAATCCTTCGAGTTTTGCTGAGTTTTCCAGAGAATTTAGAGATGCCAGAAGAAAAATTCCCATTTTTGGCAACTACTGAGCCATCCAACCCCTTGTTAGTCTTACTCACTTCACCAGGGAAGCAGCCTCAGGGAGCACCTCTGCGAAGGTATCCCGAAACACGATGGCATTTTTCCTCTTGCAGTTCTGTATCACGTCGTTGGCCAAGTAAAAAAGGTTCAGGCGGTGAGGAAAGGCAGCTGAGAGCAAGAGAAAAGTTCCCAATCAACATCAACCACAACCACCACATCAGCCACACTTTGAGCCCAACTTCTTTTTTTTTTTTTTTTCTTTTTTTTCTTTTTTTTTAAATTTTTTTTAGGAAGAGTTTGAGCATTTCCAAAGTCCAACAGGAGTCGTAAAGAGGAATTTAGCAACTTGCAAATAACTTGTAGATCTTTTTCCAAAATGGCATCAAAGCTCAGCTCTGATTTGGGTTTGGAAAGGGCAGAGGAAGCTGCTGAGCTGTCTGTGCCACCTGCAGAGCAGGAGGTGGAAACAGAGCAGCATCTCCAGCAGAGTGAGGTGAGGCCTAAAGCTCAGCAGAGCAGGACTTGGGGTGGTTTTCCCACCTCCAGCATCACCTCCTTGTCTGCTGGCTCAGTCCATCCCCTGGTTGATAACCTAGAGATCATTTATGACTATTTTCCAAGAATCCACACGAATAAACTCCTTTTTTTTTTTCGAGGCTCTAACAGCTTCCAATGATCTCTGCGACTCTCAGCTGGACCAGGGAGGTTTTACCAGCCACACCTCTGTGGCCAGAGAGCAGGGAAACCTCTCCCAAACCTTTCTGAGCAGCATCCCAACATTCCTGATGTGGGAATTACCTTCAGCCAAACTGCTCACAAAGGTTTTTCTCCTGCTGGAAAAACCTCCTGAGCCAGCACTGACCTTTGCTCCCAGATCCCCCCACTGCACTCTGACCTTCAGCTCCAAACAGCTCCAAATTTAGTTCCTTGGGCAAAGCTCTTCCCTCAGCCACTGGGAGCAGAGCAGGGAGCGCCCTAAGCTCATCCACATGCTAATTAACTGCTTTGCTAATGACCCGACTCAAGGATTTGGCTTCAGGTGCCTGTGAGCTCTGTCACCTCCCACTTTCCCTGTCCCCCCAGGGTATCCTGCTCTCACCTGCAGTGGATTTTACCAACAAATCCCTCTATCCTGCCTCATTTTCCAGCTGGCAGAGCCTCTTCCCACAGTGTGGCTGCAGCCTGGGACTCTCCTGCTCTCCAGAATTCCTGCCAGGAAGCTCAGCATCCTCCCAAATCCAGAGCTCACCCTGCACTCACAGCCTGAAAACCCCAACAGGGCAGGGCAGAGACAGCTCCAGCATCCACGTCCACATCCAGCCAGGAATGAGCTCCCACAAAGCTGCTGAGCCTCGGGAATAGCCATCCCAGAGGATCTTCCAGCCAGTAATTAGCTCTGATTGAACACTAATTGTTACACATCACTGAGGCAGGAAAGGATCAGTGGCCACTGAGCCCATCGAAGCAGATTGTGACCACCAACTTCCAGACTGAGCTTCTTTCTGGATGAATTTATCCCAAACCTGATTCCATGGGCATGGAATTCCAGGGCTGCTCTCAGCACACAATTCCTGGCCGTGCCCTTGCAGCCCTTTCCTGGGGAAAGGCAGGGAATGGGCACTGAGCACCCAAGGCAGCACAGCCTGGAGTGGAAACTCCAAGCAGGAACACTCCATCCACAGGGATCGACTCCAGGGATGTGCTGAGTTCCAAGGGGAGATCCCACAGCTTCCCCCCGGGAACAGAGGCTGAGGACACAGGCAGAGGCTTAGCTCGGATGGATCATCAAATCCCCAACAGGTTGGTGCCCTTAAGCCTCCCTGAGCCACTGCCAGGGGCACTGACTCCCCCAGATCCCTCCTGGAGCCTGGGGAGCATCTCCACAGCTTTGAGGGTGAGCAGGAAATATCATCCAGCCCTAAACTTGGGCAGGACATGGGCACAACCAACCCTAGGGAAATCCCTGGGACAGGACAGGGGCACAACCAACCCTAGAGATATCCCTGGGGCAGGACAGGGGCACAACCAACCCTAGAGATATCCCTGGGGCAGGACAGGGGCACAACCAACCCTAGAGATATCCCTGGGGCAGGACAGGGGCACAACCAACCCTAGAGATATCCCTGGGGCAGGACAGGGGCACAACCAACCCTAGAGATATCCCTGGGGCAGGACAGGGGCACAACCAACCCTAGAGATATCCCTGGGGCAGGACAGGGGCACAACCAACCCTAGAGATATCCCTGGGGCAGGACAGGGGCACAACCAACCCTAGAGATATCCCTGGGGCAGGACAGGGGCACAACCAACCCTAGAGATATCCCTGGGGCAGGACAGGGGCACAACCAACCCTAGAGATATCCCTGGGGCAGGACAGGGGCACAACCAACCCTAGAGATATCCCTGGGGCAGGACAGGGGCACAACCAACCCTAGAGATATCCCTGGGGCAGGACAGGGGCACAACCAACCCTAGAGATATCCCTGGGGCAGGACAGGGGCACAACCAACCCTAGAGATATCCCTGGGGCAGGACAGGGGCACAACCAACCCTAGGGACATCCCTGGGGCAGAACAGGGGCACAACCAACTCTAGGGATATCCCTGGAGCAGGACAGGGGTACAACCAACCCTAGGCAGGGGCACAACCAACCCTAGAGATATCCCTGGAGCAGGACAGGGGCACAACCAACCCTAGAGATATCCCTGGAGCAGGACAGGGGCACAACCAACCCTAGAGATATCCCTGGAGCAGGACAGGGGCACAACCAACCCTAGAGATATCCCTGGGGCAGGACATGGGCACAACCAACCCTAGGGACATCCCTGGGGCAGGACAGGGGCACAACCAAACCTAGGGACATCCCTGGGGCAGGACACAGACACAAACAGCCCTCAGGAAGTCCCTGCTCCTGTGGCCCCATCCCTCTGCTGCCCACAGCCACCAGGACACAGACAAAAGGTGTGAGGGCTGAGCCAGGTGCCACCTAACCCCTGTCCCAGTTCTCCTCCTGCTCCTCACCGAGCCCCAACTCCCACATCCCGGAATGAGCACAAACACAACCACCCAAGGACTCAACACCAGACACTGTTCCTCCCAACCTGCTGACAGGGCAGGTCGAGGTGGGTTCGCTGGAGCGAGGAGAGCTCAGCTCTGCCCTCAGGGCTGGGAATCCAATTTCCTGGAGCAAGGCTGCACTCGTCTGGTTTCCCAGAAAACAGCCTGGAGCCAGCTCTGCCCCAAACCTTCCCAGAAAACAACCTGGAGCCAGTTCTGCCCCAAACCTTCCCAGAAAACAACCTGGAGCCAGTTTTGTCCCAAACCTTCCCAAAAAACAACCTGGAGCCAGCTCTGCCCCAAACCTTCCCAGAAAACCAGCCTGGAGCCAGCTCTGCCCCAAACCTTCCCAGAAAACAACCTGGAGCCAGTTCTGCCCCAAACCTTCCCAGAAAACAACCTGGAGCCAGTTTTGTCCCAAACCTTCCCAAAAAACAACCTGGAGCCAGCTCTGCCCCAAACCTTCCCAGAACACAACCTGGAGTCCAGTTCTGCCCCAAACACTCCCAAAAAAACAGCCTGGAGCCAGTTTTGTCCCAAACCTTCCCAGAAAACAACCTGGAGCCAGCTCTGCCCCAAACTTCCCAAAAAACAACCTGGAGTCCAGTTTTGTCCCAAACCTTCCCAAAA